GGGCTCATTTGGGTAGTGTCATTTAACAGAGAGAGAGAGAGAGAGAGAGCGAGAGCGAGAGAGAGAGAGAGAGAGAGAGCGTCAGGGTACTGGATACTCTGCTGATTCAATCATGCACCAATAATCTTGGGAGTCCCTTGGGCCCCTGTACGATGTGGGACCAAGAACACAGTCTCCAGTTCGGAATGCGATTCGATTAATATTACGACACGTGAACGAGCTCCTCCTCCTCGCCAGCATCTTCGACTTGATCTGTTGGGATAATGAGTTTGATGCTCTGGGAGTCCAAGCCTGTCCTCCCACAGAAGAACAGAAAAGAGGCGGGGACTGCGGACATTTTATGAAGTGTAAGTGTAAGCCAGGCCAACTCGCTAGGTGCACGTCCCTCTGGGCTTAAAGCTTTGTGGATTATGTGGCTTGTCGAATTTCGGGCCACCTCGACGCACATGACACTCCCCAAACGTTTCAGCGTGCACGCTCACGAAGCCCTTCCTTGCGGTGTCCCTTGGGTACCTGCTTGATTCAGTAGCTGCAGTGTAATCGGTTAAGAGATGCATGCCTCCCTCCTGCCCAAAAAAGCCTCCAACAAGCCCCAAAGCAGTCCCCCAAAGCGAGAGCCTGGTATACGCCGATAAATTGAAACACTAACGGAGCGGTCCTGTATGCGAGCACCTCTCGGATGCACTTGTTAATCTGGGTCTCAGGCTTGGTGAGACTTGTCATCGCTCCAACGCAGCCCTCCACCACCTGCCAAACTTTCCCTGCAGGGCAGCAGCACATCCACTTCGATGCAAAGGCCTAGCTGGACCTGCAACCATTTCTTGGAGTTTGGCAGTGGGGGCTACGGGGTTTCAAGGAAGGTGTCCGCTGCCAAGTCAATGACTTCAAATATTTCCACGACTCTAAACTCCTCCCTGGCCACGAACCTGCCAGTCGGCGGCAGAATGGAGGTCTTTGTTCCTGCTCCGCCTGAGGTCGCGACATGTGAGTCAGATAAGCCCCAAAAACCTTGCAGAATCCCAGATGCTCATTCTTACAAAATATTGGCCCAAACCGGGCCCCACGACTGACATCGTCACCAGAGAGTCCAAAGACCTAACCCTTACGTACGCTAAAAAACTTCTGGATCCAAGGCCCATCAAGCGGGATTTGAAAGCAAAACTTCCCGAAAGCTTCAGAGTGCCTGCAGCACGGTTTCACGCCTCGCTGTTGATAGCTCCTTCTCTGCCTGGCAAGAGCCAACGAGGTACGAAGCTGGCCCCTAAACCCTGCCAAAATCCCTAAAGTCCCTAAAGTCAAACTTCCCAAACCCCAAGCTTGCCTGACTATCTTTCCAATGGGCGTAGCAGAGTGTCAGGCCGGACCTCAGAGTTGGAGGGGGAGGAGGGGTGGTCCATGTGCTGGGCTGGCTCCCAGCAAAAACCTCATCATTATTAACACATATCCATCTCTTCATATATGCATCTATGTATATGTAAAGGGTAAGCGAAAGCTGGGATGTAAGGGGTACCGAAGGCCTACAAAGAGTGAGTGTCCATTTGTTGGAATCTTGGATGCAGGCTGCTCTTTCAGGGTGTAGGACTACACCGTGGGGATTGCATCATAAGCTTTTTTATATGGGAGCTGGAGCCCAGGGGCATGAATAGAAAACACATCACCACGACCGTGGGCATCTGCAGCAGCCAGTCCGTCCTGGATAGAAGGCGTATTTCGTTTGTAGGTCTCTCCACTGCAGAGTACTGCAGAGTTCTGCAACCCCTAGCTCTGCAACAAACCATGCAAGAAGCTGTCTCAAGAACCTTAAGCCCCTTACCCCACAACCTGTGCGCGACTGACGGGTGTACATTCTTATTGGAGAGCGTCTGCATAGGGGTCAAGGGCATCGGTCGAGCCACTATCCAGGTGCTGCGGAAGTTTCGAATTGTCGCAAGACAAGGGCGGAACCGCAGAATCAAGCCGGTTCTGCAACCAACGCCACCAAACTAACCCGACACCTGGACATCAAGAAGAGGGCTCCTGGACAGGTTCGCGAGCGCGTCTCCGGACAGCAGAAGCCCAAGGGTGCTGCACTTCACGGTGTTTTGGAGCTCCTGAGGGCACTCAAGAATCCGAGAGTTTGAGACAGTGTCAAGAGTCAAGAGATTTACTATTAGAAGTTCAGAGGGTTTTTTCCCACCCACTTCAGAGGGTTTAGGGCTTAGGGTGTTAAGCTTGGAAATATGAACTTTTGGGGGCTTGGGCAAAGTTCAGGGGGCTTGCGGCTCACAGAATCGGAGCTCCTCCACCACGACACTAAAGATGGCCATTCGTTTCGTCTTGCACCGCACCAAGCCAGGCTGAGCTTCCTCGTCTTCGATGCGTTCCATGCCCTTCGTCTCCTTAGCTACTCTGCTTCGCGGATATACCGGATGGTGTTTCGTGGCGGTTCGGGGCTTGAAGCAACTTCACAAACCTGAGGAGATGTCAACAGCCAACAGCGCACATTTCATCGGTGTTCGCGCTTGGCATCTCTTTTTTGTAAAGGCCCACTTAATTACATAGCAAAACTTTTCAGAACTCGTGAGGTGAGTGTCCCAAGCTGCTCTCTCCTCATCCCAATAGGCACATCGTGCCCGGGCACTCTGGGTTGTTGCCTGCGGTCGCGGCAACAACTTGCACATGCTGGCCCCAGCAGAAAGCCCTTGCGGTGCTGATTTGACCAAACAAGCACTTCTCAAAATCAAACCTGAGCCCCGAATCCGAAGCCTGAACCCTAGGCCCTAGCTTTCGCAAGCTGCGGCATCAATCGCCGCTCCAGATCAAACCGCCCTAACCGTGCACCCTTCAAAAAAACGAACCCTGAACTCCGAAGCCGGCCCCCAAGCATCCCAAGCCTCCCAAACCCAAACCCGGCTAAGCCCTGCAGTGCTTGCAAACTCGGAAGGATGCATCATTTCCAACTCCCTTCCGCCTTTCTTGTCGGCTTTTCCCCCGTCCCTAGACCCAATAAATACCCTCCCCTATGAACCTGCTGACGATCAGACAGCAGGCTAGCGAAGGAATCTTGTAGATTTGGAATATCATCGGTCTCAGCGGGCTCAGCCATCACAAAAGAAGCTTGCTCAAGCCCCTGCAGACCATACGCCTTTTTCTTTAGCCACGTCGATTCATGCTTCGACTTCAGTTCCTATACATGTGCAAGTCACAACTGCGTCAGACTGGCTCTCTGCAGAACCCCAAGCCCAAAACGGGGAGCGCCGGAGCCCCGCCTGGTCCAACCTCCTCTCCTTGACAGTCAAGTTGACCTCAGGGTTTAGCGGGGTCTATATAGAGGTTTGGGGTTTAGTGGTTTGGGCTTGTTGGTTTGTTGGAGGTTTCGTGTTTCAGGATTCAGTGAGGTTGAAAATTGCTTCAAAGGTGTAGGGATTGAGGTTTCGCTGCGTTTTGGAAGCCCTGGCCGATCCCCTGTACCCCTAAACCATACTCCCTATGCGGTCCTCCATCTGAATCGTCATCGGATTCTTCAGCGGGCCTCGCAGGGCCCCGTGGGCGAAGGCAAGGACCCAGGATATCCCAGGACCCAAATTCTGACGATCTGCAGGCTTCAAGACACAAGGCGCTTTGGGATTTAGGGGTTAGGGTTGAGGGTTTGGGCTTTACGCATCCGGAGCACTCAGGTTCACTCAGGCTCCGGGCTTCGGACCTATCTCAATGATGGTTCCGTTCTCGTCGCGGATGTTGATCACCAAGGGCTTGGACAGCAATTTCGTCACGGGGCCTTGCAAGGACAGAAAGGCTTCATGAAGGTCTGCTTCGGACGCCACTTTAGTTACGGGGCTGCAGTGGAGGAATTGGGAAAAACCAGTCCCAAGAACCCACTCAGCCTTGTGGCTCGACCAAAGGAGGTGTGCTGAACTTCTCCGCCAGGTCCTGGCTTCAGAGAGAAAACACTCAGATGAGCTTTCGCCTAAACTCCTCACGAGCTGGAGTATCCAGGGGTGACAAAGGGAACTACACACTTGGCTATTTGGGTCTTGACGCGGCGTTGGCAGAGCTAGTTGGATCCCCCGACGGATTCTCCTCCTGATGCCTTCAGAGGACTATTCCGGTGCTTGTGTCGGTTTCCGGCATAATGCCGGCCGATTCATGACCCCTTTGGAATTCATCGAAATTCGATCTGAGGAGACTATGTGACCAAACAGAAAATAGTGACGCGGAAAACGGTGTGGGATGGTGCCGCAATTTACACGGGCCGCGTCGTTGGTTCGGATGCTTTCCATTTTTGGCAGCAAAGGAGTCAAGTAGTGAAATCTGGTGGAAAGTTCTCATTTCCTGGCAGAGCTTGGGGCTTCCATCGTCAACGTTTCGCAACATCTCCTTTTGGGGCCTTTGATTCATTTCGCTGCTTCCTTGTTTCCTTTCCTTACAATTACACACAGCACGGAAGGGAGGGGATCATATAGGAAGACTTGACATTAGGATTTACCATTAACTCGTAGATGTAGTCCACAAGGGTTGCCACTACGTTCCTCTCTTGTGGCTGGTACGTGTTGTGTTTATGTGTGTCCTTTGTTTAATTGAAAATGAACCCGTGCTTCGTTTCACTTCGCTCATTCAATTACGCTTCGTTTCAGTCAAACAAGGCGCCAGGGCAGGAACCCTGGTCTCATAAATGTAGGATTGTAAGGTGAAGATACAAAAGATATGTAATGCTGTGGTCTTACATTATTCTCTTCCTCCTTTAACACCGGTGGGTCTTGGGGGGGTGAGAGCATATATATATATATATATATATACACACACACACACACCTGGATCCTGAGCCCATCGACTTTTCCTACATCCTTCCACCCCTCCCCCCCTTCATCCGTGTATCTTCGCCCCACAGCCTGAGATCTGACGCACGAGACAAAATCGCTTTGGGGACGGGAGGGTTCTCACCACAAGTCGTCACTAAACCCTTTTCTGCATGGCTTGGTAAAAACGACAGCTGCAAGCCCCTCAAAAGCTGAGAGCCACCCCATCCGGCCTCGCTCATGACCATGACGCTCAGCACGAGCAGGCCATCTCCTCCTACCTCGGCCTGGGCCTGCTTCAGCACATCCGCAGGGACCTGGTGCATTCACTGGCAGGCAGGAGTACGGTAATTAGCAAAGAATCGTCGTAATCGTCGTCGTCGTCGTAGTTTTTGTCACCCACTTGGCACGACACGTCGTCGTCGTCGTCGTCGTAGTAGTAGTAGTAGCAGTAGCAGTAGTAGTAGCAGTAGTAGTAGTAGTAGTTGCAGCAGCCAGGCAGCAGGAAGCAGTCAG